TGGATCACCTGAGGTCAGGAGTTTGAGACCAGCCTGGCCAACATGGTGAAACCCCATCTCTACTAAAAATACAAAAATTAGCCGGGCATGGTGGCGTGGGCCTGTAATCTCAGTTGTTCGGGTGGCTGAAGCAGGATAATTGCTTGAACCCAGAAGGTGGAGGTTGTAGTGAGCCGAGATTGCCGCAGTGCAGCCTGGGCAACAGAATGAGACTCTGTCTTAAGAGAAAAAAAAAAAAAAAGAAAAGAAAAGAGAGAAAAGATAAAGAAAGAAGAGAAAGAGAAGAAAGAAATGCAGATTCCCAGGCCCGCACCAGACCTGCAGAAGCTGAATCTGCTTTGAAACGATGCTCCCCCATGGGAGGCAGATGCATTCTTAAGTTTGGGAGGTGCAGACACCCAGACCCCTTCTCCTGGGTTCACAGGTTGGGCGGTCAGGAGATCCACTAGCCTGAGCCAGTGGGAGCTGCCCAGAGGCCCCTGGAGCCCCAGCTGTCAGCCCCTGGGCTCTGAACACCTGAGGGACAGCCCTGAGCACTGTCAGGACTCTGGCTGGAGCACAGCCCTGGCCCTTTGGCCCCAGGTGGTGTCAGATAACACGAAGTTTTCCCGGAAGCCGAGGGATCATCTGGAAGAGAAGATGGTGAACGCAGACCCACAAGACGCACAAGCAATAGAGAAACTAGCAACTTGAAAATGGGCTCCGTAAATGCTTTCCGAGAAGCCCGCCCGTGGGACTACGTTAGCTCAACTCTCCGAGTGCTAAGCGCGACCATTCAGTCCTTGGCGGAGTCTTGGTAGCAACTGTCACCATTCCTACTTGATCTCATTTTCCTGAGGATCTGGAGGGGATGGGCAGCGTGGACCCATTTCACAGAGGGTAGAGCGGAGACTCAGAGAGCCAGAGACTTTCCCCCGGGTCGCACGCTGGGGAGTGGTGTCAGAGCCAGGATTTGAACCTGGACTCTCTGACCTTGAGACCCCTAACCATTCCCATCCCAAAGGAGATCAGTCTCACGGAGGGGACACTCAGGACGGTCCCAGGGCTCGGGAGTGACTATGGTTCCACATACAGATGGGGGAAGAGGCTGGATCCCCGGGTCACTGTTCAGGGAGCACTGGTGTGGGAAGCAGACGGAGGGGGGCCATATCCAGGGGCCACTCAGTGGGCCCACTGACCTGTGAACCTGGAGAAGAGGGGCATCTGGGTGGGAGCTGAAGGGCCATGGGTGAGCCAGCACAGGGCACACCCGAACTGGGTGTCCCCTCGTGGGCTCCCGGGGCCTGGCCCAGGCTTACCTTGGAGGGAGGAGGTCCCCATCCCCTAGCACTCTATTACTGGGCTGTGGGCTGCTCACAAGTGACACACCATCACCCCTACACCAGCACATCTCAATGATCCCACTTCATTTATTACCAAAATATCACAGAATTCCAGTCATAGTTAACATACAGCGTTTAACACGAACCTGATACCTGCAGAAAGAACTGAGTATCCGGACAATTGAGTCGTTTGGAACTGTAAGCCACGCCCCAAACCGCATCACTCCGTACTTCAAAAATACGCTTTTTTGAGAGCTTTGGAAACTGAATTAAAATGTCTACACAGCTATGAACAATTGTTTAATAAAACTTTTTCATGTTTCCATTACATGTAAATATATCAATTTGGCATCTCTATAAAAACTCTGAAAATGGTGCAAAAGTTTCATTCTCTTTGAGAAAGCCATTGACAAAAAATATTCACACTTCACTAAAATTTGAAAAATGGTCTTCTTTCAAAGTTTCTTTATTAATCTGAAGTCTTCTGGGTTATCAAAATCTAGGTTTGCTTTTTCCTCCTAAAACACTAAAGAACATTTATTCACAAGGATTAAAAATAAAAATAAAAAGGCAATGGGCTGATGGAAAACCGGTAAGGGCTTTTCTTTCTTTTTTTTTTTTTTCTGAAAATAATTAAAAAAAATTAAAAGTTACATAAGCATCTTCAAAAGAACACAATGGGATTCATTTTGTTGTTGACTTTTGGACACCAGTGTCAGACTTTATTGAAAACAAACCCATGTAAAAACAAAGTTAAAATGAAAAATGGCACCTGAAAAATAAATTATTTTATATAAAACAAATCAATAACTTAAAACACACTAATATACAAAAGGTCTAACCATCTACTGTACAACATGGGAATCGGTTAAGAGAGCCTCCCCTCCCCCAAAGCAAGTCACTGTAAACGGAACATCACATGGTCATGGTCAAAGAGGTGGCCCCCAAACCAACGGAAAAGCCTTCTCTTCTAGTGGAAGAAAAATCCAGTCCTGTCAAAGTCTCCGTTAGCCAATCTTACGTACTGGCGGTGACTTACAAGCGAGAAAAAAAAAAAAAAAAAGCTTTTTTTTAAATGGCCAAGAAAAAAACCTGAATGATGTCACTGAAAGGTAGAAAAATAGGATCCGGCCATTAGAAGTCAGGGGAAATCAAAAGGTTTGGAAACGTGAACCCTGCCTGGGATCCGAGATTCAGATTCTACTGCCATCGTTACATGCCAATTGCCAATGCCACTCAAAAAAAAAGCACTTGTGACTTCAGGGCTGTCTTGGGAAGTTTGGGGACAGGATTCCCTGACCCCCAGAGTCTGCTGAACCCCAGGGGTCTCTGCTAAGGAGCTGCCTCAGGTCCTAGTAGGTGAGGTAGGTCTGGGGAAGATGGGAGGGGATTGAGGTGGAGGGAGGGGTGGAGGGACAGACGATAGAGGCCTCCTGTCAGCTGAATTCTTATTCTCTTTCATCCAACACAGGAAGGCTGCGAAAAGCACATGGAAATAAAACCGGGCTGAATGGGATGTGAAATATAACAGCTGAGTGATGTCAATTTCGATTTTCAAGTCCGATGCCGGACTGGTTAAGTCATGTCTTTTCAATGCCTGGTGGACAAATGGCCTTCGTTTGGAAGCAAACTGGTCAAGGAATTGCCACTAACCGTCTTCGGGTGCTTCTATTTCTCTGATCCAGCAGGGACCCCTGGGCTGCCAGCTCCAAAGGGCCGGCCTTGGCTCCCGACAGCAGCACGATTCAGTCCCTGGAGACTGGGTCTCCAGGACTAAGGCCAAGCGCAGACTCTCAGAGGTTAAGGCAGCTGCCCTTGGCCAGGAAAAGGTTCACCTTCTAGGAGAAGGTGGTGGAACCCACCCAGCACCACCTGCGGGCAGGCCCCTGAGGAAGTCCATGAATTTCAGGATATTCACGCAGGATAGTGGCCAAGGAGAGGACTCAGCACCCGGGAGGGAATCAGTCACAGAGCTGTGACTAGAGGCACAGCCAGCACAGAAAACTGTGGCTTGGCAAATCACACTGAAAACGAAATAATGGCAAAGCCAAGGGGGAACAAGGGAGAATTCATCAGGAAGCAGGTTCACAAATTCGGAGTTGCCTGGGGTCTAACTACCAGAGGAAGTTACACACAGGTCAAAAGGGAATTCAATCAAAGCCTCTTTGGTATTTCCCAAACCAGATTTTTGATAAATGAACATTATCTACTCTGAACACTTTTTCATCGAAATTCCCAAATAAAAGGAGAGCACTCATTTTTGTTAGCTATAAATACGACTCATCTACGTAAAATTTTTAAAGAAATGGTTTCTTTTGAGTTGTGCCTTTTTAAAGAAAAGGGATCTCCCCTTTGCAAACAGGCCTTGGCAAGATGTAATGAACTTTGAGGGCACAGGGCCGGCAACTAGAACCTTGATGGGAACGGAGATTGCTTTTCAGGGGTGACAGTTCAAAAGCTAAATCCTTCCACAAGCTTGCAAGTTAAGACTCCCAAATAAAGGCATTGGAATTTTTTAGCTAGAAGGCTGTTCAAACAGTGGAGACCACGTACAATGAGAATGTTCCTGAACTGAGAAACTTCAGGGAACTCTCAAAGGCTCATACACTTCACAGTTTCTTCTCACCTGTCCCAGCATCAGAACAACTGATAGGATTCAGATAAAAAGGGGCGAGGAAAGAAGCTGAGGTGCTGGCTACAAGCCCGCCATCATTTTCACAGTTGAAGCTTAAGACAGAGTTCTCTGTTGAATGCTAGCTACGGGCATGTATGGCAGTGAGACTCCAAGGGGAGTTTCAGAAGCGGGAATCCAGCCTTCCATCAGAAGGTGTTGGCTCCCACCTTCCATCAGAAGATGCTGGCCTGGGGAAACCTGAAGGGCTTCTTTTTCCAGGAAAACATTCTGGTCCCAGGGTGGAGACTGCTCTCCGGCAACAGAGCAGGGACCCTCTTTTGTGTCGAATCTGGGCAAACGGGCCTCGGTTTTGGCTTTTCCTGAGGATCTGGGATTCTGTGGGAGAAAGGAGGTCCTCTCTGGCACCAGGCCGACTTTTATGAGACGTGGCCTGGGTACAGATGGCAACATCATCAATTTGCAAGGATCGCGCACACAGCTCCTCGGTAAAAGATCAGGGAAAGGGCATCCTCAGTTGTCCAGGGGCCTCTAGAGACGCTGACCTGCTCTGGGGACGGTGGTGCCTGCCTATTGCTCCATTTCCCACTTCAATAAATAAATAAATAAATAGATCGGTATAAATAAACAGATAAATACAGCCGTCATCTCATGAGAGCAATAACTAAAAAACAGCCTACGGTCACGTTTTAGTCTCACGTCAAGGTTAAAAACTGCTGGTACTAAGTTATCCTGTTTGTGATTCTCTCTGTATACTAGTTATTTATAAATGCCAGATCCCAGTGCTGAGGAGTTTTGGGCGATCTGGCCCTGCCTATTTCACAGGCTTTCTCTTTCACCCTTCCTTCGGGCTCCCGGTTTAAAAGCCACCAGCCTGTAACTGCACATTCCTGCGTCACATATTCAGAAATGCTTTTGCTTGAGGCAAGTATTGGTTTCTTAAGATCTTACGACTCCTCCCTGAATGCTGGGCCGCCTGCACCTTCCCTAGCCAAAAAGAAAGAAAAGGTAAAATAAAAAACAAAACAAAATTCGAGCAAAACAAAATCAAATTTAATGGTCTTAAATGCAAAAGTAAAAACAAACAAAAAACACAAAAAAGCAAAAGAAAATTAACAGAACAGAACAACCCAAAATGTCAAGGCAGTTATGAAGAGAACTTTGAGGGTTAATCTTTAAAACTACAAATCAAAGGTTTTGGTTAATAGATAACTGGCAAGAAGTAAGTACTTTTCTGCTGAGTGTTCATACAAAAGCAAAATTCCAAAACAAAATGCGACTAAAATAGAAAAAGGTCTAAGCGCTCACGAGAAGGGATGCGAGAAATACAATGCTCAAATGTTTCTGTGTTATTAAAAAACAGAGCCATCTTACGCCTCCAAGCTATGTTAAATGCTCTGGAAAACGGGAGAAATTATCGTGGAACAACAGTATCCAATGTGTGGGGCGCTGTGCATGCAATGTGTGGACAGAAACTCGGGGCGTCAGAGTAGCAACACATCTTCAGGCGTGCCTGGAGCTTAGATCTAACTCTGGAATATACTGGAGTTTCCCTGAAACTCTTTGGTCCATTCCCATTGGTGCCTGGGCTTACGAAACACGTTTGTGTCCTTCTCTGGAGGGCCCGCCCGGCATGCGGCCCCCGGCCCCAGTGGTGGCCCACGCTGGACGGGCCCACCGCCATTCCCAGGACCACTTGGCAGAGCCCGGGACTGAGTGAGCAGGAGGTGGCAATGGGACCTGCCTGGAAAAGGAACTTCCTGTCAACCAAAGCATACATCGCTTACAATGTTGAAGCGGTTGAGAAAACGCACACTCAGCATCTGTCTAACATCTTTAGATTAAAAACTAAAACTAAAAGGTGATTTTTTTTGCTACCCAGTCTGTGGAGACATTGAATGAAACGCGTGTTAGACAGTCTTAGAGGTTAAAGCATGCTTCAGGTTCACCACCATCCAGAGGGACTGGTTAGTCAATGCAGTTCTACTTAGATTTCTGTTTAATATATATCTTAAAGGAAATAACTTACGAAACTTAAGATTGGTCTAACATTGTGGGATTTCAAACATTTGAACATGTCGGTTGCATCCCAGAGTATAAAAACCTTCTCACTTCTCATTCAGACAAAGACAAACACTTGTGAAAATTGGCGCAAAATGAGTTGTACACTAACAAGAAAAGTTTCAACTCCTTCACTCTTAATTATCTATTCCGTACAAAAAAAAAGCATGAGCGAGTTATTTGTGGGACTTGTTGGTTTTGAAGGAAACCTGTAAGATCTTGTCCCCCAGGCGGTAGCCGTTCAGGCTGGCTATGGCCATCGCGGCTTCTTCATAGTTTGTCATGGTCACAAAGCCAAACCCTTTGCACTTGTTGGTGTTGAAGTCGCGGATCACTTTCACATTGGTGACGGCGCCAAAGGGCCCAAACATCTGCCAGAGGATCCCCTCGTCGGCGTCCTGCCCCAGGTTGTAGATGAAAATGCACCAGCCGGAGGAGGCGTTTCCGGGCACGTTGACGCCAGAGAGCCCGCTCATGTGATCGACGCCCATGGGGGAGAACCTGGCAGACAGAGAGCAAGCGTCAGGCCACGGTCAGCGCAGGCGGCCTGGTGATGGGGCAAGGCCTGGACACATGCTGACCATGGCCACTGGGCCCCATCCCGCTCTGCGCAGCCACGAGGTGCTCACAGTCGAGACACCTGCATGGGTTAAAACCATGACATTGTTTTAAACTGGGAGGAATTAAATACGGTAATGGAGGGGCAGGACCCTGTTCTATAGGGAGCTGACTCTGAGGGGCTGGTTGGTGACCTCCACTCCTCCCACTGTGTATGTGGGGGTTTCTGTTTAGGGGTTCCTGCAGTTCCCCACATTTTAGATGATGGGTGCTTCTCCGGGTCCTCCATTGAGGGTAGAAACGCTCTGCAGGCGCGGACAGCCTCAGCTCTCCCTGGAGGAAACTCTCCTCGTACTGTGGGGTACGTGCAGGGGCTGAACTCCTTTTTCCAGATTTCGCACCTTCCCCTCATCATGACCCACCCCCAAGGGTTCATAGCCCAGTGGTCTTTGGTTAGAGCATGCCTTTGCCAGGGCCACTGTAGGGCCCAAGAATTCCTTCCCACGCACCAGGCAACCAACCTTCTGTGGCTGCAGTTCAACATCCCACGAGGGCCAGGGGCCAAACCACTGAGGGCTGAGAACTCAAGGGACAGGGAAGGGCCCTGGGACACCAGCAACTGCAGGCTCACCAAACTTGACCACACACGTGGGGCTCTTTCCACAGTGATACTTTTATTTACATAAAAAAAAAAAAGCCTTTCTGGGCCAGGCGTGGTAGCTCAAGCCCGGAATCCCAGGACTTTCAGAGGCCAAGGTGGGAGGATCACTGGAGGCCAGGAGTTTGAGACCAGCCTGGGCAACACAGAGAGACCCCATCTCTAGGAAAAAAACAAACAAAAACCTCATCAAACTAAAACCAAACTAAACGAAAATAAAGCCTTCTGAAAACGTACAGATGCCGTAATAAGGATTAAGGTAGATGACAAAACAGTTCCTAAAGCCATGCTTCCCTCTGGAACTTTCTCAAATTAAAAAAGTAAAAGTCTGAGGGTCAGTTTGGGAATATCTGAGTACCGTATATCTGTGAAGACAGCATCTGTGAAGCCGCACGATGCATGCAGAGAAGGATTTCCTGCTCCAAAATAAAACTGGGCTTCAGGCTATGGCCCTATCAGCTAAGGTAAGTGAGTGCCTTCAAGTGCCATTAAACAGATTCACCCTCTCAACAGACACAAGAGGACACCAGCTCCCACGGGGCAGCTCACTAGCCCAAGGGTGATTTTTTCTTTTTTTTGAGACAGGGTCTCACTATGTTGTCCAGTATGGTCTCAAACTCTTAGGCTCAAGTGATCCTTCTGCCTCCTGAGTAGCTGGGACCACAGGTGTGTGCCACCACACTGGGCTAATTTTTACATTTTTTGTAGAGACAGGGTCTATGTTGTCCAGACTGGTCCCAAATTCCTGGGCTCCAGTGATCCTCCTGCTTCGGCCTCCCAAAGTGTTGGGATTACAGGCGTGGGTCAGCGCGCCCAGCCTTCTTAAGAATTACTCTTGTTGGTAGTTTTTCTCCTGCTGATTTCTCTGGTCTTGACAGTCATAAATCTCTCTTTTCCTCCAACCCAATTCTCCGGGGTTTTCTGGACGTGATAGGGACTGACGGCAAACTCCCTGCAGTCTGGGTCTTTCTTCCTCCTCTTCTCTCAGCCTCCTGAGCAGATCTTTCCCTCTAGACTCTCCCGCCCTCCCCACTTCCTTCCATAACTTTGTCTTGGTGGTTGCCCTGCCACTCACTTTCCTGCTCGACCAGAAATGTCCACTCCTCTGGTTTCCCCTTTCTTTTCCCGTCCTCATTACCGGGACCAGAGTCCCATGTCTCCTCCTCCAACCTTCCCTGTCTTCCTTCCAGGCGAAGGAGCAGTTCACCCAACGCCACTGCCCATATAGCCCGCCCCGTCAAGAGCAGTGCCAACTGTATGGTGGGATTCCTACAGCTGGATTTTAAAATTCAGTTCCATTCTGTCCAGAGAAGCTTCTCCAGCCTTGTCTTCAACCCAGAAACCTCAAGGCAGGCAGGCCAGCTTTGGAATTTGAGCCAGGCGGAGAATGCTGGGTAACACAGCCATGAGAATAACACCTCTCACAGCAGCATGTGTGGCAGTGGGCAGTGCCCACCCAGCCTCACTGTTAAAACAACGATGGGGCCGGGCTCACACCTATAATCCCAGTACATTGGGAGGCTGAGATAGGAGGATCACTTGAGGCTAGGAGTTTAAGACCAGCCTGGGCAACATAGTGAGACTCCATCTCAACAAAAAATAAAAACATTAAAAATTTAAAAATGGGATATCTGTCCTTGTCATACCTGAGATAAGCCCTCGATGTCATTCCTTGAGGAACGAAACAAAACAGCCCTGACACTGAGACCTCTGCTGTTTCTGAGGCAACAGCACACCAGATCCTGGAGTCCAAGGCCCTGACTCTTATCACCTCTATCCCACTTCATCCTGGCAGCCAGACCCATTTTCAGGATGGAAAGACTAAGGAATCCGGGAAAACTGCTCCCATCTAGGACAGGGCTCATAAACAGAATGCATACTGATAACATTCACCAATACAAATGACTGCACAAGGCGGGTGTATGAAGAAAGTTTGCCTTAGGGCTGCTGATCATGTCTAGGAACTCTGGAAGATCTGCTCTCACCCGACTATACCTAAGGCAGCATCTTTCCTCCCACAGATATGAGACGTTCATTATTCATTTACTTTTTAGAGACAGGGTCTCACTCTGTCACCCAGGCTGCAGTACAGTGGTGCAATCATAGTTCACTGCAGCCTCCACTTCCTGGGTTCAAGCGATCCTCCCGCCGTGGCTTCCTGAGTAGTTGGGACTAAAGGCCAGCACCACCACGCCGTTTTTTCATTACTTTTTGTAGGAACGGGGGTCTCACTTTGCTGCCCAGGCTGCTCAAACTCAGGGCTTCAAGTAATCCTCCTACCTCGGCCTCCTGATAGCTGAGATTACTGGTGTGTGCTCCCCAACACTGGGCATGAAACCATCTTTAAAGCTCGCTGCTCCGTTCTCCTGTTACTAGGAACTGCGTGTTGAAGCTCTAAGCGCTCACACTCATAGCAACTGGTGGGGACTGGTGCCGTCTTTTTTTAAAAAAAAAAAAAAAAGGTTCTGGCTCTGTGGCCCAGGAGTACAGTGGTATGATCACAACTCACTGCAGCCTCAACCTCCTGGGCTAAAGCAATCCTCCCACTTCAGCTTCCTGAGTTGCTGCAACTACAGGAGCGCACCACCATGCCTGGCCAGTTTTGTATTTTTTGTAGAGATGGGTCTCACAATATTGCCCAGGTTGGTCTTGAACTCCTGGGCTCAATCGATCTTCCTCTCTTGGCCACCCAAGGTGCTAGGATTACAGGGATGAGCCACTGTGTCTAGCCTGGAGTCACTGTTTTGATTCCCATGAAAGACAACGCCCCATCGGAAGTAAACGGCTTTCCTACAGACACCTTTCTGATGAAATTGTGATGTGGAGCTGCAGAATGATTCTGAAATGTGCTCTCTGGCAGGATCAGTCGAGCGTCCCCGTGGTTTCTATTCTGTGGCTGTGCCATCGCCCACCAGCGGGGCTACGTATGGCTTTCAGGAGTGCGCACCCTCCCGACCCACCTGAATCTCTGCGCCTGGTGGTGAACGGGGCCTCCAAACCGTCGCGCTGGCGAGTGGTACAGCTGCGAGAGGAGTGCCACGTTTTTGTTCTGGTTGGGGTTGGCTGCAAACTTCACTGTGATGGGCTCAGAGGAACCTGGGGGTTTATGACCATTGAAACTGGTAATTGCCTCTTCTGCCTCCGACCGTTTGTCAAACCGGATAAACGCAACCCCTCTGGACAAACCTTTTTAACAAACCAACAAAAACGGAGTTAGGGGGAAAAATGCTAGGACTTTCAAAACTGAAAAGCAAAAGTCAGGTCAGTCTACTGTGGGCCAGGCTGGAAGTCTGGTTAAGGAAATAAACAAAAATTAACCTAAAAGTGAAAACAAATGGATGGAGTAAAGAAAACCAATGACTAACAGAAGATTAAAACTTCAGACTTTCTTCCCGGCTGAAGCCACGACTCCACGGTGTCAGCGCCCAAAGATATTTTGGTGACAGACATCCCCAATAGACACCCAAGCCTCTTATTTGGAAGAAAGCAACATTAGGAAACAGCATATCCACTGTCACTATTTAGCTGCCAGATACCCACTACAGAGTGGGTGTGTGGGGTTGGTGGGTAACAGGGTCGGGGTGGTGACTGCGTCTGAGAGTTCCTCCCTGGGCTCTGGGGCCCACTGTGACAGCAGGCCTCGTGGCCGAGCCTCCTGCCAAGGTGCCCAGCTCAGCCTGCATGCCCTCTCCTTCATGCCAGGAGGGAGTGGGATCCTGTGGCTGCCCCCTGCCAGCTCTGTGCTGCTGCCGTCACCTCACTCCTGTCTTGGGATACTCCACTCTAAGGTCCTGCACCCTCCCGTGGGCCCCAAATTGCCGTCAGAATCAAATGAGGCCAGAACACTGCCCAGGCTCACACAGCAGAGCTGAACCTATCCACAGGCTCGCCAGGCAGGCCTGGGGTCCCTGTGTGGGAAAGGCCAGGGCCCCAGCAGCCAAGCCCAGAGGGCACCTTCTCTTGCTACCTCAACTGAGCCACCCAAGGGCCAGTCCCGGGTTCTAGGCTGAACCCAATCCCTGGACGGGCCAGCGTGAGACCTGAGGCCAGTCCTACTGTGGGTAGCATTGGTGTGAGACGCTGAGCAAGGCGGGTGGAAGGAGAGCGTGGCTGTCCTCCACCCCTGCCCGTCCATACGCTAGGCCCGGGAGGGAAACATGAGTAGCCCGTCCCTTGAGGAACCTGGGGAGCGGGCTGGGAACTGGATGAGGGGATGGGGGTGAGGGCACACTGAGCAGCGGACTAGCTCCTTCTCTTGGAGCGAGGACACGATGGGGTCAGGGGAAGGCCTGGGGATCGGAGACGTGACAGCTGAGGGCCAGTCTGAGAGTGATGTTACTAGGTGGGAGTCGTGGGTGTGTCCCAGTAGGAGAGGCGGCCGCAGACAACCCAACCCAAACACCCTACTTCTCAAGACTTTTAGTCAAGCCAGGCCAAGGCTCGTGCCTGTGGTCTCAGCTACTCCAGAGGCTAAGGCAAGAGAATCGTCTGAGGCCAGGAGTTCAAGACCAGCCTGGACAACATAGTAAGATCTCATCTCTTAAGGAAAAAGAAAGACTTCCAGTCAAAGGGTGTCTTAAGTCAGGTTTCTTCTCCAGGCAAAGGCCTCTGGCACATAGTAATGAACAATGACCAAAGTCAGGCAGCCTGGAGCCATGCTTGACCTGTCCAGCAGGCACCCAACTGTCCCCATGTCCTGTCTCCACGTCTCTTCCGGCACCTTACTCCACCACTTCCCAGAGGGTCCCACCAGCTGCCCCACAATCGCGACACTGCAGGTCCCACGTGAGCACACAGACAGCAGCCTTAGTAAGGTCAGACCTAGCGCTACACACATGTGCCAGGAATATTCTGGGGCTCAAGCTCATTTCTGAGCTGCTGCTCAGAAAGAACACCTGAAAACATAACCCTGACAGATGCTGTTTTCTTTGACTCTCTCACGACACGAATGACAGCTTAGTCAGTCCTGGAAACCTAAATGAAAATCTAACTTTAGGCAAATACGACTGAGAGCTGACGCTGGCCGCCTCGTAGAGAAGCTGGCTCCAAGCAGATGGCTTCATTCTGTTTCTAAAGACTTTGCGGCACAGCGGAGAGAAGGCATGCGTGCAAGTGTGGGCTCCTCTGGTGTTGCCAAGTGGCTTTCAAATGCAAACTGCCTGAGTGAAACGAAGAAAACTCAAGTAAGCGGGGCAGGAGCGATGCTGTTTAACACAGGGGGATATCAATTCACTCAATTATGTAATGGATGTATACTTTCTGAAGATGGCTCTGCATTTTTTTTTTTTGTCTTCCCCTAGTGTTTTTTATTTTTAATTTGTCTTTAAGATGGAGTCTCACTCTGTCACCCAGGCTGGAGTACAATGGCACGATCTCAGTTCACTGCAACCCCCACCTCCCTGGTTCAAGTGATTCTCCTGCCTCAGCCTCCCAAGTAGGTGGAACTCCAGGCGCCTGCCATCATGCCCGGCTAATTTTTATTTTATTTTATTTTACTTTATTTATTTATTCGAGATGGAGTTTCACTCTTTTTGCCCAGGGTGGAGTGCAATAGTGCAATCTTGGCTCACTGCAACCTCCGTCTCCCAGATTCAAGTGATTCTCCTGCCTCAGCCTCCCAAGTAGGTGGAACTCCAGGCGCCTGCCATCATGCCCGGCTAATTTTTATTTTATTTTATTTTACTTTATTTATTTATTCGAGATGGAGTTTCACTCTTTTTGCCCAGGGTGGAGTGCAATAGTGCAATCTTGGCTCACTGCAACCTCCGTCTCCCAGATTCAAGTGATTCTCCTGCCTCAGCCTCCCCAATAGCTGGGATTACAGGTGCCTGCCACCAAGCCTGGCTAATTTTTGTATTTTTAGTAGAGACAGGGTTTCACCATGTTGGCCAGGATGGTCTTGACCTCTCGACCTCGTGATCCACATGCCTCGGCCTCCCAAAGTGCTGGGATTACAGGCGTGAGCCACTGTGCCTGGCCTATTTTTAGTAGAAATGGAGTTTTGCCATGTTGGCCAGGCTGGTCTCGAACTGCTGACCTCAGGAGATCCACCCGCCTTGGCCTCCCAAAGTGCTGGGATTACAGGCGTGAGCCACCGCGCCCAGCCCCCTTGTGTTTTTTAGAATTTAACAGCAGAGTCCAAGAAACAGCATAATCTCCAGATGAATACACTATAAAGTTCACAAGCAAAGGAATAAAAAAAAATTAAGCTGTTTCAGCTCAAGATGGGATTTTTTTTCTCTTTTTTTAAAAAAGAGTTGGGGTCTCGCTATGTTGGCCAGGCTGTTCTGAACTTCTGGGCTCAAGCAATCCTCCCACCTCGGCCTCCCAAAGTATTAGGATTACAGGTGTGAGCCACCGCGCCCAGCCATCCTCGTCTATTTAACACTGAAAAGCCCATCGCAGGAAGGCAAACTCCACACAGGCTGGTTTGCCACACACTTCTCTTCCCTGCTGTCCGCCTTGCGCCTCATGAGGTCCCAGGAACAGGCACCCTCTGTCCCCAGCAGAGGGAGCCATAGCCCTGGGATGGGAGCCTCACCTTCCCACCAATTCTGCACCCTGGGGTGGGAAGCAGAGCCAGGGAGACCCTCCTGGCTCCCTTCTCTGCCTCCTTCACCCCTCTACAAAGATGCCAAAGGTTGCTTATGCCACCTTGAGGTTCACAGCTGACCTGGCAGGCGATACTGAGGTGCCCCCAACACCCTGGGAGACACTACCTTGCAGAGGGAAAGGAAGCAATGCCCCCAACAGCTGTGTGCAGAGGTGAGTTCCCCCTGCCTGTGGCCTGTGTGTGCCTGAGAGACTAGGGAAGGCCCCGGGAGAGTTGGGTGGCTGGAGGCATGCTCTCAGGCACTGGGGGCTCCAAGTGGAGTGTAGGCTCCCATCATCAGGACCATACTGGACAGAGAGAGGCCGAGGCAAAGCTGTGCATGTGGGGTCTAGAGGAGGAGGAGAGTGGACTGTGGGCCGGCGAGGTCAGCTTCCCCAGCCCCGGGCCCTGCGCAGCCAGTTCAGATGCCATAATGCAAAGTGGGGGACAAGGAACCCACACACTGGCCCACCGACAGGATCGTTCTTTCAGCTAGCACTTGAAAGTAAGTGAGGGGACTTCAGGAACCACAGGAGATTCTTCTGGTACAAATCAGGGGAGTTTACACCAAGTAACTGGCATCCCCCGACCCTCTCCCCAGAGCGAAGACAGAATAGAGGCGGCTGTGCGAGTGAGCCCCGTCCTTCGGCACTGCTGGGTGCCAGGGCACGAGTCTGTGCTAGGCTACAGGCAGCCCCCAGAGCCCCCGTGAAGTGCACAGAGGCCCTTCCCCTCCTCGGGCCCCAGCGGGACGGAAGGCCGGCAACAGCAGGGCCGGTGCGTGCCAGGTGGGGTTCCCACAGCCGGCCAGGAGGGAGAGAGACTGATAAGGCCGCCCACCCCAAAGCACGCAGCTCAGGGGACGCAGGACGATGTGCATGCCCCTCCAGCCTGCAGGCCAGGAAGGCCCCACCTGTGTGCACATGAAAGGCAAGGCTCTGGGCTGTTGGGGGAGTGCTGCTGTTCTCTCGAAAAGAGGTCACCTCAGAGCACGACTTCCTGTGGCCCGACTACTCGGTGTTATTTCCTGTCTCTTATACACATCTAGATGTGTATAAGAGACAGGAGGTCACCTCAGAGCACGACTTCCTGTGGCCCGACTACTCGGTGTTATTTCAACATCACAGCCAAGGTGGGCACAGTCTGTGTGGGAGGAATATGAAAACCACCCATATAACGAACGCACAGGCCTCACTGGGCTTGGGGAGCGGACTCTTCCCTCCTGGTTGGTCAGCACACTCCTGCTCCCGCCCCAAACAGAGCTGAGCGATTCTAAATCCCCTCAGGGTGGCCCGTGCTCCCCATGCCCCAGGCGGGGCCACGTGCAGGGCTTGGCAAAGGATGTGGTGGTGCACTAGTTCCTAGCCTAGCGCGGCAGGCGGGCCGGGAAGTGGGGCCGGAGCACAGCCGTGGATGTGCACATGTCCCCTGCTCATCTCTGCCTGATGGCGTCACACAAAGCCCCGTGCCCATGTCCAATGGCAAGACAGCATGGAAGGGCCAGCAAAGTGGCCAGGACTGCCTGCCCATTAGAGGAATTCACTGCCATGTGCTCTGTGCATTTAAGATGTGCTCCCCAGAGAAGGGCATCCAA